CTTATTAGGAACATTAGCGTATCTAATTACATTTTTAACATGGTGCCAATTCAGTTTACTATCATGTTAAAAAAAAAATTCTCCCTGCCCCTTACTGTATCTTTATTTCAGGCTTTTCAAATAACTTGCTCATCTTGATGTTTGTGATTATTATCTGGTTTACTAATAAAAATTTATCAGACATGAGTTAATAAAAAAAAATAATCACAGTTGTATTGGAATTTTTGTATTAACCATAAAGGTCCTGAATTTCATTTTCTGACTATGCCTAGCAGTACAGGAAACAGAAATATTCTAAATAGACTCCATTTTCTTAAGAATTCTTTATTTTCAGCATCTCTTTGCATGTAAGGTATAATGTATAATCATGATAGTATTTCCCAATTCTAGTTTTTTATTGGAGTAAGTAGTTTACGTTAAGAAATGAGAGCTATTTCTAAGAGAGCAGATCCTGCTAATGTAGTGGATTAAGTGTCAGGTTGCTAACCAAAGGTCACAATGAGAACGCATCAGCAATTCTAAGGGAGAGAGATGAGGCAGTTAGAATTTACAACCATAAAATGCACCTGTTAATTTTTACATTATCAGATAGCCAGTAGGATAATTTTTACTGTCCAACAGTGTCAATGAGTTGGAGTCTACTTGACGGCAGTGAATTCATTGGATAAGAGAGAACAAAAAGAAAGATAAAAGATGTCAGGATGATGCAAAGAATATGCATTAGATGTTTTCTCATTTTTGCCCTATTGACTGAATGAAATTGTTGCCTTTAAGTTGTGATGTTTGGAGAAGAGTTCTGAATATCTCATAGCCTCTCAAAAGAACAAATAAGTTTATCTTGGAAGAAGTGCAAGCATGGTGCTTCTCAGAGTCAATAATGGTGACTCTTGGTCTCACATACTTAGGGCATGTTTTCAGGAGGGACAGTCATTGGACATCATGCTGGGAAAGTTGGAGGATCAGAAAAGTAGAGGAAGGCCATCAATGAGAAGGATTGATACTGTGTAACAATGTGTTTAAGCATGTTGGAGGTTTCGAGGATGATGTGAAATAGGGTAAAGTTCAGATCTGTTGTTCATGGGGTCACAGTGAGTTGTAGGCAACTCATGACACCTTACAACAACAACAATACAGATCTGTAGTGGTACAAGTATCTTGACAGTAATACAAAATTTTATTTATTTTTAGTTTTTAAATAGTCAAATGATAGTGATAGGGAAGATTTTTTTTTTATGGTGAGAAAAATTTATATTTAGAATTAGCCCACTGGACTCAGTTTAGATGACCCCAATTTTGTTGGCAACATCCAAAGCATCATAATCAGGAGCAAGTCGAACATAGGCCTTCTTCTCTCCATCAGGCCTAATCAAAGTGTTGACCTTAGCCACATCAGTGTCCTAGAGCTTATTTACAGCTTGTTTAATTTGGTGCTTGTTGGCCTTGACATCCACAATGAACAAAAGTGTGTTGTTATCTTCTATCTTCTTCATAGCTGACTCAGTGGTCAGGGGAAATTTGATGATGGCATAGGTCAAGCTTATTTCTCCTGGGGGCGCTGTTCCAGGGGTATTTGGGCTGCCTTTGGAGTCTCAGCGTCTTAGGCCACCGGAAGGTGGGTGACCTGCGGATCTTTTTTTTTTTTTTTTTTTTTGGCTGTGGATGCCCTTCAGGACTGCCTTCTTGGCCTTTAATGTCATTGCTTTGGCTTCAGTTTTGGGAGGGGCAGGGGCTTCCTTCTTCGCTTTCCGCGCCATCTTCGAAAAAGTGATAGTGAAGATTTTAAAAGCAGAAACTATATATTATTATTGTTTTAGTCTATGCTTTATGTTCTGAAGAGTCTTGGACATAACATAGCCTCTTGGGCTTATTGGCCTATGATTTTAACATAATAAAAATTTCCTATAACACACTGTTACTTTCTCTATTCTTTTACCAATAGGAGATATTAGATATATCAAAGAAATCAACTCCTTGCTTTGTGAACTTCTCCAGGTTACAGCAGATCACAAATATGCAAGCTGAAATCTACCAGGTAAATTATGTTGGCCATTTTACTTTCGACTTATAGTACAGGAAAGAAAAAGAGATTCAAATATCAGCAATTCTATTATATTTAGTATTTGGCACTTGGTTTACTTTTTTTGGTAGTATACTGGTAATAATAGTTGTTAGTAGTAACAAAAGCAGCAGCAAGCTTGAATACTTTAAAGAAGAGGTTTGTTAAATCTACTGGACTCTCATAAAGATCACTTTCCTTTGCTTTTAAACCGTCAATCTCTTCTGAATGAGCAAAATGTTACTTTTGTTGCAGAACAACTTGGAAATTGAAGTCTTAAAACTAGAAAAAGATACAGCAGATGTTGTTCATCCTTTCTTTTTAGGTAAGTGATTTGGTTATTGTCTAATAATCATTAGGTTTTGAAATTTTTCCGGGATAATTTTAAGTAAGCAAAATTATAAAGTACTCTTGACTTGACTAGTGCAACCAGTGTTAAAAGTGACCAAGTCAAATGCTACTTAAAATCTGGAAAATATAAGAAATTGATAGAAGGCAGCTGACATGGTTAAAATATTCATTGCTGTCAGTTCTCACTTGTTGCAAACTTATAGACATAATAGGTTTTTGAGACTGTAAATTTTTTTAAATTTTTTAAAAAAATTTGTTATTTTTTTCTGTGTACTGTCAAATTGGATTTGACTGGTACAAGAGGAGATTGCCCCTCCTTCTCCATCAGAGTAGCTGGTGGATTTGAACTGCGTACCTCTGGGATTGCAGTGCAGCTTCCTGCCACTAGGTCACCAGAGTTCCCTGAGACTGTAAATCTTGATTGAAGCAGATGCATTATCTTTCTCCTGCAGAGTTGTTGCTAGGTTTGAACCCTCTTTTAGTTAGCAGTCAAGACACCAGGCTTCTTTATGGTTAAAATGAAGACTGTAAATTAGAAGATTGAGATGGGTATCTATATACCCAGGGGAATATAATGGGCAGTTACTTTGTTCATACTAGACACAATTATATATGTCCTTTAAATGGTCAACTCTTGAGAATTAACCCCAAATATAGACCTTGATAATAAAAAAAAATTATGTGCCACAGATTCATTGATTTGTAGCATTGCTTGGAATTGGAAAATTTTAGAAACAAGCTAAGTGCTCATGCTTAGGAATTTGTGTTCATGTTACACACATGTTATACTCTGAGAAAAGAAGATCCTTATGAATTGATGTCAGTACATTGTTACATAAAACATAGGCTAGGATATATCGCTACATGAAAAGAACAAAAGTACTAAAAAATATTTTCAGCTTCTAGAGAGATGGTGCCTACCTCCATTTCACAATAGATGGTCCCTGGCAGAATGGGAGAAAAATGTAGAACAAAACTAAAAATTGTGAAAAAGATTAGGCTTACTTGTCTAATGAAGGCTAGTAGTACCCTTAAGAGTGTGGCCCTTAGGGGAGCTCTGGTGGCCTAGTGGCAAGGAGCTGCAACTACAATCCCAGAGGCACACGGTTCGAATCCACCAGATGCTCTGCCGGGGAAAAGGAGGGACAATCTCCTCCTGTACCAGTCAGATCTGATTTGATGGTACACTCACACAAAAAAAAAAAAAAAAAAAAAAAAAAAGAAAAGAAAGAGTGTGGCCCTTATTCACCCTCAAAGACTAGAACTGAAAATCATTCCTATAGCTTAACTTCTAGACAAATAATAAACAGACCTATAAGATGATCAGTAACTCTTGGAATAATTAACCATACAAGCTCAAAAGGGCCTGTCCTTGGAAAAAGACATTGTGTTGGGAAATGTAGAGGATCAGTGAATGACAGGAAGACCTTCCACCAAAGGAACTGACACAGTAACTGCAACAATAGACTGGAGCAAGGTGGAAACATGAAAAGGCAAGGTTCCATTGTCATGGAAGTCACTATGAGTCATAGACAACTCAACAGCTCCTAGCAACAACAATAACAGTTGAAGGGGGAGGAGGGTGGGAGGAATAAAAAAACCAGGAGGCTGTATGTCCTGTGTTTTCTAAGTCATTGACTTCAAAAGCATATTGAAATGAAAACTGGAAACTCTTAAGCAAGATGTTCCTGAGTCTTACTCAAGCTCTGTCTTCAAATGATAGGAAATAATACTTGCTAGAATTGATAAAATTATGTTAGCACTTTAATATTACCAACATTTTAAAGCAAAAACAAAACAAAAGCATGCAGCTTTTTAAAAACCATGAAATAACAATAAGAAAGTGATTTAAAAATGCCAGCAAGGGCTACTTTTATAACTTCAAATGCACATTTGACTTACATGCTGTACAAATGTAACTGGATAAACAGGAAGCACCCATGGTGAACTTCCTGGAAAATTCAAGAATGGACTGGAAGAGTAACTCCAGAGCTTGGATGATGATTATGTTATTTGAAGATTACAAGATGAAGAATATCTATCAGAGCAGATTATCAACATGGACAAAGCATACTTGTTTTAGAAAAGGGTACTATAGACTTGGGTTCACAAAGGCAAAATTGATGCCTAGTTTCAAATCCTTTAAAGATAGAATTGTACTGTTACTTGGAGGAAATGCTGTAGGATTTTTATGTTTTGAAGACATTTTCTTTTTATGTTTCTAAAACCCCTGAGCTTTCAGAAATATTAACAAACATAACTGTCTCCTCCTGTGTGGTTTACAGCCTCTGAAAACCCACTCTGAGTTGGTTTCTATTCAGTGGCGATGAACAACAAGAACAAGTCTACTACATGAGTAGCTCCAGATTGGATGATGATTATGCTATTGAAGATTAATTTTTAAATTGTTTCATCCTAGAATTATGATCTTTCTGTCTTGGAAAGAAAATTCCTTTTAAGATTGTGTTGCTACTAGATAATGCCCCAGGACACCCTCTTCACATTTCTCTCTCATTGCCATTGAAAGCTGACCTTCCAGCTTGTCTCTGAGGCTGCCAATTGCATAGGAGCAGATTATCTATCTTTCTTCTACAGAGACACTGGTAGATTAAAATTACCAGAGAGAGGGTTGACCTTTAGATTAGAAGTACTTTCCTACTTCAGCATCAGAGCTCCTTTGTCTTATAGTTGTAATCATGTGCCATCAAGTTGAACTGACTCATAGCTGACCTTATAGCAGGTTTTTAGAGGCTGTATGTGAGTTGTGTGAAAGGAGCTTGACCATCTTTCTCCATCAGACTGGCTGGTGGATTTGAACTGCTTGCCTTTGGATTTGTAGTACATTTTTTTTTTCTACTCACTTGATTACCAGAGCATCATTCCTCTTCACGTAGAACATCTAAATCAAGAAGTGAAAGTGGTGGATCTATCTCCCAAATGACAGTTTTGATTCAGCATATAGCCTCAATATGTAATCTTCATCTTCAAGGCCTGCTACCCATGGATTACAGTTGCTCAGGCAGTAGCGACAGCAGATGGTGGTATGGTAATAATACATGATTTCTGAAAGAATGATGGTATTGTTCAGGTATCTACAATATTATATCTAGCTAAGAGGAAGTTACAGAGAATTATATGAAGGAAAGGATTAAGAAAGAAAATTGCTGAGTTATATGAACAGTGCATCCTGCGTGTTCCTTCAAGGCAAAGATGGTCTCACATTCTTTGGACATGTTGTCAGGAGGGCCCAGTCCTTGGAAAAAGACATTATTATGTTGGGAAAGGTAGAGGATCAGTGAAGGATGATGACAGGAATTGACACAGTGGACTCGAGCATATCGGAGATCAAGAGGAAAGGAATTTATAACTGCCTTTTAGTATCAGTTTTTAAATCCAGTCTTTTTTATAGAAAACATTAAATATAAACTTACAGTATATGTTGTTGTTGTGTTATGTGCAATTGAGTCACCTGCGACTCATAGCAACCCTATGTATAACAGCCCTAAACCCTGCTCTATCCTGTACCAGTCCTGTTGTCTCTGACACACCTACCCCATTACCCCAGTCACTGAATCAGTCTCATTAAGGATCTTCCTCTCTCCTGCACTGTCCCTCCATCCTCCCAAGCATGATGTCCCTCTCCAAGGACTCCTTGCAACATGTCCACAGTATGTCAGATGAAGCTTTAGAATCCTTGCTTCCAAGGAGCAGCCTGCTTTCACTCTCTCTAGGAGAAACCTGTTTTTTCTCTTAGCAGTCCATGGTATGTATACTCAATACTCTTTTCCAACACCATAGCTCAAAGGCAGAAATTCTCCATCATCTCTAGTCATTGTCCAGCTCTCTGATGCAAATACATCATATGGTATATACATATATTCAAAAAAAAGAATTTGTGTATACATATGTATATACATACATAAAAAAGGGAGAATTGATGCTTTTGAATTGTGTTAGAGAAGACACTGAATATGCCATGGAGGAAGACTCATCAACAACTTGAGCTATGCACATAACACAGCCTTGCTTGCTGAAAGTGAGGAAACTTGAAACACTTATTGCAGAGGATCAAAGATTGGCCTTCAATATGGATTGCATCTTTACATCAAGAAGACAAAAATCTTTACCATTGGACCAATACCCAACATCATGATAAGATGGAGAAAGGTTGAAGTTATCTGCAATTTCATCTTACTTGGATGCATAGTTAATACCCTTAGTATTAGCAGTCAGGAGATGAAGAAACATTTTGCATTGGGGAAATCTACTGTCAGGGATCTCTACAAATTACTGAGGAGAAATTGTTAGTTAGAAGACTAAGGTACACCTTATTCAGGCCATGGTCTTTTGAGTTTATTCATCTGAGAGCTAGATGATGAATAAGGATGACAGAAGAATAATTGATGCCTTTGAATTTTGTTGTTAGAGAAAAGCACTGAATATCCTATGGACTGCCAAAAGAGCAAACAGATATGTCTTGGGAAAAGTGTAGCTAGAGTGCTCCTTGGAGGCAAGCATGGTGAAACTTCATCTCACTGGGCATGTTGCTAGGAGAGTCCATTCCTTAGAAAAGGATGTCATGTTTGGAAAGGTAAAGGGTGGATTGACACAGTGACTGCAGCAAGGAGCTTACTGTGTTGAATATGATAAGAATGGAATGATGCGGTTAGGACAGAATTCAGATTTGTTCATAGGGTCACTATGAGTCATACTTGACTTGATGGCACCTAACAACAACAACATAATCAAAACTAACAAAGAGAAGAGTATTCAGTTTAGAACTGACATGATAGTCATCTGAAGTCAGAAACTAACTGTATATGTAGATTCCCCCCACGCCATCTTTGTCTACTGAAAGGATCTAAAATGATAACACTCTGATGTTGCCAATGAGTATCCTTAGTCTCCAGATCTTGTTTGCTAAATACTGTTTTCCCCTAAAAGGAAACACTCCTTAGAGAAAAGACAGTAGCTTCACATTAACCTAAAAATTGATAAGTTTAGTGGCAAGAAGCTGAACTGCAATCCCAGAAGTGCACAGTTCGAATCCACCAGATGCTCTGTGGAGAAGGAGGGACAGTCTCCTCCTGTACCAGTCAGATCTGATTTGACAGCACATACACACACACACACATATAATAAAGTAAAAAGAAAACAACAACCTGATAATTTTAAACCTACCGTTGGCTTTATGGAAGAAAGATCTGGTAATATCCAGTTCTTCTCTTGGAATTGCCATGACTCAGAATTGATGACATGGTAAAGGATTTAGTTTTTAGTTTATAGGTATGTAAAGGGGGTGGGATAGGGCAAGAAATAGAACCAAGTGTCAATAATTAGTGAGGCTAGCTCATGTAAAGGAGTTCAGGGAGCTATCCTTGAAACTTTTTGGTTAAATCTGGAGTATTTTCTAGGTAAGAATATAAAAGAAGCAGAATTGGAATTCATTAATCGAATTCTGGGGATGTACTGAGATAACTAAAATATTACAACTTTAAAAAATGTTCTAGATAGTATAGTGAATGGATAGGAAAATGGACTATGTGAACAGTATGGCTCCAGCTATAAAAACGAAACTAGAAGTGGAATTAAAAGACCAGAAAAAAGTAATAGCAGAATTTGTCAGTAGAAGAAAGTTCACATTGGAACTGGTATTGATATTAAAAATAGCAAAAGGAAAAATTTAGGAGCAAAATGGTGGGTTTAACATTGGCAGCATTAAACTAGAACAAAGAAGGCATAAATGATTCCAAAACATTATATTGCTAATTTTATTCCTGTTTCTGGTTTAATGTAGCTCAGAAATGTCATACTCTACAAAGCATGAATAATCATTTGGAAGCTGTGCTGAAAGAGAAGAGGTCCCTCAGGCAGAGACTGATGAAACCCATATGCCAGGAAAACTTGCCTATTGAAGCAGTTTATCACAGGTATGACTGAAAGGTGGAGAATAAAAGATTTTATTTGTACTTTGAGGACAATTACTTTTAAATATAATTCATTAAACAGTATTTCAATAATTATATATGTTGATATTATTAATGCTGATGCATTAAGCTTTTTTTTGTTTTTTAATTTTTGCTTTAAAAGAAATATAGCTATGGTTAGAGGAATTAGTCTCTGGAGAAGGATATCATGTTTAGTAAAGTCAACCAAAAAAAAGAGGCCAACCTCACAAAACAGATTATCATAATGGCTGTGAAAAATGGACGCAGATTTAGCAACAACTGTGAATATGATGCAGGACCAGGTAGTGTTTCATTCTGTTTTACATTAGGTTGTTCTGAATTGGAGGCTCCCAACAACAGCAGCCTGGTGAAGAGCAAAGAGTTCCTTTTGCCCATTGTGTTCTGAAAGTTTTAAATTATGACTTTAGGAAAGAAATTATATGTGGAGAAAATGAGGTAAAAATTATTTTTAGTATATGTAGATTTTTCCATGGAGTGAATGAAATCTTAAGTTAACACTGCCTATATGTAAACTAGGGAGCTCTGGTGGCCTAATGGTAAGAAACTGTTCTACAGTCTTAAAGCTGCACATTTCTTCTTTAATAAAATTTTTATTTTATGTTGGTTTACTTACAAACTTAATATACATTGTTTTCACACCAGATCTTTCCCATTTCCTTTACCATCCCTCCCTCCACCCATCAAATTTGTGTGACCCTAAAATTAACTCCTCCCCTCCTCTCGGCCCAGCCTCACCCCTCTGCTCGAACCCCCCTATCCTCATACATGTTCTACAGTAATGTTATTATACAGTATTTGTCCTTATAGGACTGAGTTAGTTCACTTAGCATAATGCTCTCCAGTACCTCCCAAGTTGGGTAGTGATTTATAAAATCATTGTTCCAGCATGCTGCATAGTATTCCATTGTGTGAATATACCATAATTTCTCAGGCCATTCGATTGTGGTTGCAGATTTAAGCTGTTTCCATTATCGTGCAGTGATTAATAACGCTGCTATGAACATTGGTGTACAAAGTCTCCATTCATGCCTCAGTTCTCATTTTCTCAGTATATTCCAAGCAGTGGTATAGCTGGGTATTATGGAATCTCTATGTTCAGCTTTCTGAAGATATGCCAAACTGCCTTCTGGAGTGGTTGTACCATTTTACAGTCCCACCAACAGTGTGTAAGAGTTCCTATCTTCTGAGCATTTGACTGTGGCTTGGGACGCGAGCAGAGGCGCACAGCGACCCCGCCCGACGGCCCGTGATGATCTGAGAGCCCCTCGGCTTCCCCCTCCCCTGAGACATGGCCAGGCCCTCCCCTCGGCGGCCTGCAGACGCCCACCTCCACCGGTCTCCCCCTCAGGACACCCACCTCTCTCTGCGGGGCTTGGCTCCGTCGCCTCCCCTGCACTCGCTCCCGCCTCCGCTCGGAGGCCAGCCCCGGCGAGACGAGGCGGCCGCCAGGAAGAGTGGCTCCTTCGACCGCAAGCTCAGCAGCATCCTCACCGACCTCTCCAGCTCGCTCAGCTGCCATGCCGGCTCCAAAGACTCGCCCACTATGCCCGAGTCCTCCGTAACCGACCTGGGGTACTACAGCTCGCCCCAGCACGACTACTACTCCGGCCAGCCCTACACCTCCCACCACCAGTTCAATCTCAACAGGCTTGCGGGCACTGGCGCTTACTCGCCCAAGTCGGAATATATGTACGGGGCTTCCTACCAGCAGTACGGAGCTTACCTCGAGCAGCCCCTGCCTGCCCAGGACCCAGTATCAGTGAAGGAGGAGCCGGAAGCCGAGGTGCGCATGGTGAATGGGAAGTCCAAGAAAGCCTGAAAGCCCCGCACCATCTACTCTAGTTACCAGCTGGCCGCCCTGCAGAGACCCTTCCAGAAGGCCCAGTACCTGGCGCTGCCCGAGCGCGCTGAGCTGGCCGCGCAGTTGGGCCTCACGCAGACACAGGTGAAAATCTGGTTTCAGAACCGCCGCTCCAAGTTCAAAAAGCTCTACAAGAATGGGGCGGTGCCCCTGGAGCACAGCCCCAACAACAGCGATTCCATGGCCTGTAACTCGCCACCATCACCTGCCCTCTGGGACACCTCCTCTCACTCCACTCTGGCCCCTGCTCGAAGCCAGCTGCCCCCGCCACTCCCGTACGGCGCCTCCCCCAGCTACCTGGATGACCCCACCAACTCCTGGTACCACGCGCAGAACCTGAGCGGACCCCACTTGCAGCAGCAGCCGCCTCAGCAGGCCACCCTGCACCATGCCTCCCCGGGGCCACCGCCCAACCCTGGGGCTGTGTACTGAACACCCCACCTGGCCTGAACTCCCCACGAAGGACCCCGGGACCAGGCAGAAGGTGCTTCCATCCTAGATGACACTCAGGAATCATCGAGGGGCCCAGGGAAAGGGTGCCTCCTTTCCCCATCCCTTGTCCCTTCCTCCAGGGATCCAAGTGCTACCAGATGACATTTACATGGACTGAGGATGTCCCCTGGACCACCTCCCCCTGCCCAGATACTAAAGGGTCCCTCCAGTTGGGGCACCCATTCCAGCTGGGACAGCTGTCTCGCTTCCACTCAAAGAGCCCGGAGTGGCTTTAAAGACGGCTCATCACTTTTTACATTTTGAAACACAGTACCTGTGTCCGGACTGGAGAACTGGAGGACAGGCGGGGGAAGACTGTGGAGCATTCACATGTCACGAGTGGGCTGGGGCACCAGGCACCGTGGGATTCTCCCAAGCCATCTGTGACCGTCCCCTTCCCGAGGGCCCTCTGCCAAAAAGAAAAGAAACCAGACGTCGTAACTGGGACTCAGGGAGAGGGGCCTGGACCAGCCCCCAAACTTCTCCTCTCATTTAAGAACTGAGGGCTAAACCAAAGAAAATTCCCCTCATGAGGGAAATGTTTAATATTTGTGGCTTTAGAGGGAAGAACTAAAAGAGCCTTCTCTCCCCTCCATTCTGGGGAGATGAGGGGAGAGGCTCCCATGTCTTGCCTAAGGACCTATTTCTTCCATGTACAAGACTTTGCACGACTTTGGTTTTAAAAGCTGTTGAAAAATAGGAAAACGAAGGGCATTGTTAACAGATAGGACCCAACCCCTCTCAGGCGGGCGCTTCTGCTCGGCCCCAACCCCCACCCCACCTCTTCTTCTCCTCCAGTAAGTTGGCAGTTTGGGTGCCAAACCCCAAATCTCCTAGGAGACATACTAGGCAAGACAACCCCCTCTAACACCCCCTTTCTGGTGGCTCTGGAAGCAGATTGAGTAGAAGAATGCCGAGTGAGGTGCAGAAGATCATAACTTGGTGCCTTTATGGGTGAGAGGGTGGCTGTCTGGGGGGAGAATGCCCCTCCCTCGCACAGCTGTCCCCCCAGAGCTAACCCTCCTCTGCCCCTGATGTGGTGAAAGATGGACGACTGGAGCTATATATATAGTATGTATTTTTTTTAAAAAGCAACAGAGAGAAGTAGTCTCCTCCCTACTGTGGTTTCCTATTTATGTGACCCTTTCGTCCTGGATGGAGCTGCGTTGTAAGTTAGAGAGAGAAAGGGGGATGTGGACTCCAGCTGGATTGAGGGTTGGTGGGATGTGTGGAGTGGGACAGAGGCAGCGAGCCTCAGAGTCCCACTCCAGGGGAACAGGAATGAAGCCAACTCCCACCCTCTCCCAGCCTCCCATTTCTGCTTTCTTACTGGATCCATCTTTATATATAATGTTAATAAAAAAGAAGAAAAGAAAAAAAAAAGAGTTCCTATCTTCTTTTCGTTCTTTCGGCACCACCATGGCGGTTGGCAAGAACAAGCGCCTTACAAAAGGTGGCAAAAAAGGAGCCAAGAAGAAAGTGGTTGATCCATTTTCTAAGAAAGATTGGTATGATGTAAAGGTGCCAGCAATGTTCAGTATAAGAAATATTGGGAAGACATTAATCACAAGGACTCAAGGAACCAAAATTGCATCTGATGGACTCAAGGGTCGTGTTTTTGAAGTGAGCCTTGCTTATTTGCAAAATGACGAAGTTGCATTTAGAAAATTCAAGCTAATTACTGAAGATGTTCAAGGCAAAAACTGCCTCACCAACTTCCATGGCATGGATCTTACCCGGGACAAAATGTGCTCCATGGTCAAAAAATGGCAGACCATGATTGAAGCACATGTTGATGTCAAAACCACCAATGGTTATTTGCTCCGTCTATTTTGTGTTGGTTTTACAAAAAAATGCAACAATCAGATTCGGAAGACATCTTATGCTCAGCACCAACAGGTCCGCCAAATCCGGAAGAAAATGATGGAAATCATGACCCAAGAGGTGCAGACAAATGACTTGAAAGAGGTGGTCAATAAATTGATTCCAGACAGCATTGGAAAAGACATAGAAAAGGCTTGCCAGTCTATTTATCCTCTCCATGATATATTTGTTAGGAAAGTAAAAATGCTCAAGAAGCCCGGGTTTGAATTGGGCAAACTCATGGAGCTTCATAGTGAAGGTGGTAGCTCTGGAAAAGCTACTGGAGATGAGACAGGTGCAAAAGTTGAACGAGCAGATGGTTATGAGCCACCAGTTCAAGAATCTGTTTAAAATTCAGCCTTTTAATAATTACACATAAAAATTATTATTTGTAATTTAAAAAAAAAAGAGTTCCTATCTTGCCACATCCTCTCCAACATTTACTACTTGCTGTCCTATTAAACTTTGCCACTGTTACTTGAGTGAGATGATATCTCATTGTGGCTTTGATACGCATCTTTCTTACTGCCGGTGATTTTGAGCATTTTTTTCATGTGTCTGTTGCTCAACTGAATATCTTCCTCTGTGAAAATTTTTTTCATGTACAAAGCTGCACATTTCAAATCTACCAGCTGCTCCCTGGGAAAAAGATGGACAGTCTCCTTCTGTGCAATTTATTGCTTAGAAAACCTGCTATAGGGTCAGCTATGGGTTATTTCTGGCTCAATGGCAAACAACAACATACATAAAACTAGGGAGCTCTGGTGAGTTGGTGGTAAGAGTCTGTGCTGCAATTCCAAAGGCACACAGTTCAACCCTCTAGCTACTACACAGAAGAAGGATGGACAATGCAATTTACTGCTTCAGAAAATCCACTGAAGGGTAGCTGACTTGATAGCACACAACATCAACACATATAAAACTTGTTTTAGAAGTGGCATGGACAAAAAGGAGTTTTAAGTAGCAACAGATGTAAATAATGTCAATTAAGGAAGAGAAAAACTGGGTTCTAATCTCTTTGTTATTTATATGCTTCAGAATCTTGGGCAAATGATGTAACTATTAACCTCAGTTTCCTCAATTAATAGATTGATGGCCTAGTGGGTAAAGAATTTCACTGGCAACCCAATGGCGAGTGTTTTGAATCCACTAACTGCTCCTTGGGAGAAAGTTAGGCAGTCTTCTCCCTTGTGATTTACTGCCTCTGAAAACCTGCTGGATGGTCAGCTAGCTATCAGTTGGTTCTAACCCAACAGCACACAACAACAAAATGGAGATTATTTCAGTTTTTCTCTTCTTAAGATTATTGTTATCATATTGAAGATACAGTTTTACCCCTAAAAAAAATAAACAGGCCTTGAAATCTCTTGCTGACGTCTTCCTTCAGTACTTCACTAGCAGACCCTGAGCAAATCAGTGTTTTCTCGAGTGGTAAGACACTTTGCTTTTTAGTAAAATAATAAACAAAATCTCTCATTCTTATGGAATCAATATCTATTCAGTATAATGACTTGCCGAAGAAGTAATGATTTTAAAAGCATTTTGGAAAAATGTGTAGTAGTTTTTTTGTATAGATTGTTTTTGTGAAAGGACATTTACACTTATTCTCACTCTTCACTAAGAAAAAGAGTAAACTGAAATAAAATGGCATTTATCTAGGGAAAAACCCTTATATAAGACTATTTTTATCATTGAGGCTTGTCTTAATATTAGGTTGAGTTCTGGTTATGATTAGTGTTATCTCCGATTATCTGTCTGGATGACAAATTAGATCTTTCCTACAGTAAAAGAGAATCATTTTATGATCAATATTACCATGACTTGATTGTTATTTTTGTGTTTGTTATTTTTTTCTCAAAAGAGAATACAAAATAAATTTTAAAAAATGAATATTTTTTCTCTCCCAGATGCATGGTACAGTTATTGGAGTTGGCAGTGAATTTCATTGAGAAATTAGAAGCTCATCTTGAAACAATTAGAAACATTCCTCAGTTAGATGAAAATCTAAAGAATATAGTAAGTATTGGTGCTATGATGACATCTTAGTTCCTCATCAGTGCCTTTCATAATTATTTTTAGCTGTCTCTCTTTCATACTAAAATATTTATGACCCATAACATTGAGGCAAGTGGTCAGAAGGTCCTCTGCCAGGCAACCCACCTGAGGTAAAGCAGTCCTGACTGAAGAATTGTATCCTTAATGTGTCTAACCGGAATTGAATTTGTTACTTTCCTAACAAACCCTATAATTAGAAAATAAACTTCTCTCTCACAATTATCTCACTACTCAAGAAAGTGTGTAAGCCAGTCTTTCTCCTCTTTAGAATGAAGAGGTTAGACTCTGCCGTCTGAATACTGGGGACACAGTGAATTTTTTTTTTAAGTGAATGGTACAGGAAAGTAGCATGCCAAAGCTTTGACTTACTCATGGAGAAAATACTGGGTAAATTAGAATGAACCTTGCTACTCTTAAATGGGGGGAGAGAGAGAGAGAGAGAGAGAGAGAGAGAGAGAGAGAGCGCGCATCAGTGTCCCTGGGGGCTTGTTAGGAATAGAGAATTACAGATTTAGTTTAGCTTAAGCCTTTAGAATCAATCAATCTATCCTAATTTAACAAGATACTCAGATGAATTTTGAGGACAAAAGAGAGAAGCTCTGGGTTAGAAGAGCAGGTGGAGAAAGTAAAGGCAGAGAAACTTGGGCAATAATTAATTTTTCAAAGAGTAGATTTAAAACAAAGGGATTCTTTAGTTTTAAGAAGGGTTTTGGGGGAAGAATTCTAGATCTTGATTGTTAACTTGGATAAAGGAACATATCCAAAGTAATAAAATGTCTACCCTTAGTGACTTGAATAGGATCAAGTAGAGGTGAAAGAACATTTTGCTTTTTTGACTTTATTTTGCACTTGTATTAGATGTCCAGTCAATGTTGGCTGAACTGCAGCTAAACTGAATTTGAGATATTGTCTGTGCAACAGACTGATATATGAGAGTGAATTTTAGGAAGATTAGGCTTGACAGTGTAGCTGGAGGATCACTTGCCCTGAAGACCAAGAAAAGTTGAACTTACAATGAAAAGATGTTTACTATGAGAAGTGGAGGAGCCTTCTGCATTAGGTGACAATGGTGTTAACTTTGGTGTCATAATTCTTGGTGAAAAAATGATGAATGAATGACTGCCATGCAATTTCTCTCCTGTTTCCTCTTTAATATGTTACAGAACAAGGCTTTGGCAAAGATGGATATTTTGGTAACTGAGACAGAAGAACTAGCAGAGAACATACTCAAGTGGCGAGAACAACAAAGGGAAGTTTCATCTTGTGTCCCTAAAATATTAGCTGAAGAGAATGATCTTCGTAAACATGACGTTGTAATGCCTCCTTAACGTTTTAATTCTAAAGTTCATGTCCAAACTATTAATGCTAAATAAATGCTAACTCTTTAGTTTTGCATAAATATATTTAAGAAGGCTAGTTTTAATAAAATGTAACTTTAGGTATTTATGGGCTTTTCTGCTAGCAATACTGAAAGAACCCTGTTTATAATGGAGTACCAGAATTCCAGATTCATTAAGGCCAAACTGAATTACCCTCTTCATTCCCCCCTCATTCCATATATTTTCATTATTTTCAGTGAAATTAGCAAGGACCTGTGGAGTTTATCTTTTACTACAACTTTTCCTAGCCATTGTTAGACTTTGCTGTGTAGATTGGTGAGAATATGCGAACTGGCCATGTTAGCCTATCCACAAGGGAATTGGCTCTCTTCCACTTCACAATGGATTGACCAGCTCAGCAATCTACAAGGGGATTGGCTAGTCTCACCACTGAATTGAGTAGGCCAACAGCAAGAGGCAAACAGATCTGGTGCCATTGAAGAAAAAAACAAGAAAATGTAAGATGCCTTTCTTGCTCCAGCTAAACCTACCACATCAATATCTACAGCAACAATACCTATGGCCGAACCGGCAACATGACATGAGATGGGACCTTGGACGGGAAGAGCCATTATTGGATGGACAGAGAACTTTGTTGGACAACTATGGGTAGGAAGCCAGTATTGGCAGGACTAAGAACTTGTAAACACTGGCCTAAAGCCACAAGGCTTGAGGCTGAAGTGCCTGTGTGCACATTTTGGGAGCTGTCTTGACTATATTCTCTTATTAATCTAGATCATAACCTTTTAACTTCTCCAATATGGTTCTTTGTGGTCTGTGAGTTATTGTGTTGGATTTTGGACCCAGCAAAGTTGTAAAATTGGTATTGAGATGAGTAGAAAGAAGTACAGGAGTGTGAGGAACATGTCTGACCTCATGGGAATTGGTTTTGTGTTATTGATGGGGACAGTTCCCCTTTGTGAAATTGGTAAAGGACAGATATGGCCATTCCCATAAGGTCCTTGTTCTTTTTACAGGACCAAATAACTATAAAATTTATTACTATGAGTGTATTAATCATTTCTCAGCATAATATCTATTAAATGTCTTTAAATGTACATAGTCCTGAATGGAAAGAATCTTCTTGAATCTAAAATTGTTTGCTGATTATTCCTGTTTGTGACTTGAGTGTATGGTGAAGCATTAATATGCACAGCCTGACTTAGGAAGGTCTACTTATAGGGTCATTATGAGTCATATTCGACTTCATAACACTTAACTACAGTTAAGTGAGACTAGTATTATATTTGGAGGAACATTCTACTTTGTACATCACTCTTCGTCAGTTTGCTATACTGAGATAATCTGGGTTTGCAGTGATTCTGAACCTTGTGCCATTGGGATATCAAATACCATAATGTTTTTCCAATGTGGACAGTGGTGGAGCTCCCAGTTGTAAAACAGGTTTGGAAGCAGGTATGGCATCTACTCCCTAAACCACATGCATATGAAAACTCTATGAACTTGGAGAAATGACAATAGTTATGGAAAGGCGTTAGGTCTTTTGTTCATAGAGTCTCTATGATTCATACTTGACGGCAAACAGCAACAACTTATAAGCTTGACATTTGTCAGTTCATATGGGGACTTAGATGTCAGGCATGTTCCCATCACAGTAACTGACAAATATTACTTAAATAGTGTGGGTTATGCTGAAGAGTTCCATTTCTTCTGGAAATCCGGAATTTTAGTTCGTTTTTTATATGGAGTCTTTATGTGACTCACTCACTCATTGCTATTCAGTTGGAGCTGAATGATAGCCAACCCTGTACCAGGTTTCTGGAAACCATAAATCACAGGGGAAGATATTGCTCATATTTTTCCCTTGATGCCGCTGGTGGATTTGAATTGTCAGAGAGGCACTGCCTTTGGGTTAGCACTGCAGCTTTCTACAGACTACCCCAGCAAGATTCTCTTTTACATGATTGGGGTTTTTTGTTGTTTTTTTTTTTTCAATTCTGTCAAATTGGAACTGACCCATAGCTGACCCTCCAGCAGGTTTTCAGAAGCAGCAAAATGCATGGGGGTTGATTGTCCATCTTTCCCCAGCTAAGCATCTGGTGGATTTTAACCGTGTACCTTAGTGTTGACAGTGCAGTTCCTCACCACTAAGCCACCAGCGCTCCTTTTTTACATGGCTAGTTACATGAGATATGCCTGATTCAGACTATGGTTTTTTCAGTTACTTGCTATGCATCTGAGAGATGGATAGTGACTAAGGATAATAGAAGAATAATTGATGCCTTTGAATTGTGGTGCTGGAGAAGTGTATTGAACATATACCATGGACTGCCAAGAGAACAAACAGGTCTGTCTTGGAGTGGGTAAAACCAAGGATTTTGAAGCTCTGTCTCTTGTACTTTGGCATGTGGTCCAGAAGGACTGGTCCTTGAAGAAGGATGTCATACTCAGAAGGGTAGAGGGACAGCACAGGAGAGGAAGACCCCAGATGACATGGATTCACATGTTAACCGGTATCATGAGGGTAAGTGTTGTTGGAGTCAGTGAGACTGGCTCAGGATAGAGCAGACTTCAGAGCTGTTGTAAATGTAGGGTCACTATGAGTCGCAGGCTACGTGATAATACATAACAAAAACAATGGTTCACATTAAAAACCCTGGGCAGAGTCACTAATAAACTTCTCTGGTATAATACATTTCACATGTATCATCAGTTTGTTGCTGAAAGAATTAAGTATAGGTATTGCTCCATGTACTTTTTCTCTTTTCTATTTTGCTTTGTATTGTTTTATTCTAATAATTCGTAACTGTGAGACTGGCCATATATGTTGAATCACATGAGTTTTTCCAGCAAATTATTGAACTTTGTGATTTTTGAGAACTTCAGCATACTAAGCAGTTTTTGAGAGGGTTCACTGGCAACCTTAGGTATAAGCTGAGAAGAACAAAGAAAAGTGGCAAATTCTAATACAATTTTAGTATACCTCATACAGTGCTCAACCATATTACTAAGTCCAAGATTATAGTGGTATAGTGATATTAACAGCTACCTTATTGCATCAGTAGTATAACTCTCCTTGCTTTATTTTCAGGCTTTAGGTTACTCCTACTTTAAAATGTATACATCAGTATTTTTTTTTACTGTTGTACTCTGGATCATGGGTTCAATTATCCTGTGTTCATCACACTTCTAACACAGGAAAACCTCAGAACAGAGTAAACATATGAGTAAAGTAATTGTTCATAAGGATCTTAAAAAAATCCAAGTGAAATAATCAAGGATAATGTTTTGAAATCTACATGTTTACTCATGCAAAAGAAACATAGAAGAGCAATCATAATGTTTTGAACATTGTTGTAGTTAGATGCCATCATGTATGACTCATAGTGACCCTATAAGCAACAGATCTGAATTCTGTCTTATCCTGTGCCCTCCTCATCATCCTGACATACTTGAGCCCATTGCTGCAGTTACTTTGTCAAGGCATCTCATTGAGGAACATCCTCTTTTTTGTTGACCCTTTATCTTTCCAAGGAATCACCCCTCCTACCAACACGCCTAAAGTGTGTGAAATGAAGTTTTATCAACTTTGCCTCCAAGGACCATTCTGTCTGTACTTTCTCTTTTTGTTCTTTTGGCAGTACTCTTCTCCAAGACCACAACTCAGAGGCATCAATTCTTCTATCGTACTAATTCATTGTCCAGCTCTCAGATGCATAACAAGTAATGGAAAACACTTAAGCAAAGCATTCAGTTTGATTTCATCAGAAGTCTGTTTAAGCTCATAAGCTCAGCTTAGTTTCAAAGCTTGATGTGATTTCTTACATTAGTTTGCAAACCTTGTTTTACTGTGCTTCAAAAATAGTACTTTTTCTTTTCCCCCCAGTAAATTAAAGGTTGGTGGCAACCCTGCATCATGCAGGGGTTTTGGCCCCGTTTTTCAAACAGCATGTACTTACTTCCTGTCTCATATTTTGGTAACCCACAAAATATTTCCACCTTTATTGATGCTATTTCATACTTAATAGACATTAATAGTATAGGACAAACAATTTCTATGTACCCTTGAACACCAAAAAAAATCCTGACTCACTTTATTTTTGTGTTTGCTTTGTTATGGTGATCTAGAACTGAACCCACAATCTTCCTGAAATATACTTGTATATCTTTATTGTTGTGAATATTTATACGGCCAGTTGTTTTGCTTTTTATTATGTTTTCCAAAATATTAAAATAATCTTGTCATTTCTAACTAAAGTTTTGAGCATTGTCTGCGTCCTGTTAATAGTCTCCTACTTAGTTTACACCCGTAAGCATAAGCTGACTCCAAAAAGCTTGAGGTAGTTAATTCTAAAGTCCCGCTAAGAGAGAAAAAGATAATTTAGTACTGTGATAGATTCAGTAAGTTATAATTAATTTTTCATTCAGTTTTTAGAGATGTGAGTTTGGAGTGAGGATGGAGAGAGGAGTTGAGCTTTAAGATGAGCTGCTTTAGTTGCTATAGTATGGAGCACAGAATCTAGAATTAGATTGCTTTTTTAAAAAAAATTTATTGTTACAGAATTTTTCTATCTCCTCCCCACCTGGACCTCACAATACACCCCTTGCTTCAGATTGTTGTCGTATATATAATGGCTAATCATATATTCCTTTCAGACATTTCTTTCCCTCAGCTGTTCCATTGCAGCATTGATTATCCACTCTTTTCTCATTATCTCTCCACCCCACCCCAGGTCTGTCCAATTTTACAAGAGTGGTGTTATGCAAGAATTAGACTTGTAATAAACCAATATGTATAAAAAAAAGAAATAGACTTGGTTTTGAATTCAGTTGTACTTAATGATGTTGTTGTTGTTATATGCCATCGAGTCGCTTGTGACTCATAGTGACCCCATGTACAAGAGCCCTAAATGCCGTTCATCCTGTGCCAATCCTGCTGTCTCAAACACGCTCATTCCCACCACTCAAAAAACATATTTAATACTGACCTGGATTTTTCTCATTTGAGAAAGAGTTAACAGTATTTCATTGAA